AACCGAGGTTACGTTAGTAACCGAGTACGTTCCCTTTCGATACTTCACTTCGTACTGCGTCGCTAGATGCTACGGGAACCTATTCCACACCATGCTATGGTAGATGAACGACTTATAAATAATTGTCCAGGGCGTCCAGAAGGGGGCCCTGTAGATCAACTACAATGAAGCAGGCCATAGCCAGAGACCCGGATTCTTTTCGGGGTCAAGAGGCGGCAAAGAAATGGGCTAACTCATAGAGGTCGAGCCCGGCCTTACATAATCGTTCTTAGAGCTTCGCACAGCCTCGGAACTAGATAGGGCCAAGAGCGTGCCGGTAGCTAAGCCCAGACATGGGAATTTCAGCGGGTTCGAAACATAGTCAAACCCAGCAAGGATTAAATCCAGCCTTAGGGCGGGAATATGGTTCCTGGAGCATGTTGAGCTCAGAGAGACAGTTAAGCAGAAAGGACCTGAGCCTGCAAAGCAGGGACGTCTAGGTTGTAGAACCTGACAAAGGTGGATGGCGAGGACCAGCTGGCCGCCGCACAAATTTCTGCAATGGACACACCACTGGACCATGCCCAGGATGAGGCCATGCCTCTCAATGAGAGTTGTCTTCTGAGGCGAAGAGGTCGACCTCTGCCTTCCCGAAGATCTCCCATATTCTCCGAACCGTCTGGGGGTGAAGCATCCATTCGCCAGAGGGGATGTTGCTCCGAGATTGCATGTCTGCTCCCTGGTTCAGTTTGCCCGGTATGTGCGCTGCTTTTAGGGAGCGCAAGTGGCAATGTGCCCACTCCAGTAGGCTCTTTGCCATCCTGAAGAGGCGTGGGGAGGAAAGGCCGCCATGGCGATTTATGTAGGATACTACCGTCATGTTGTCCGATCGGACTAAGACATGGCATCCTTCTAGATGTGGTAGGAAGGTCTCTAAGGTAGTAAATCAGAGAAAATTAGTTTCCCGTAGAGTCTAGCGACACAGTACGAAGTGAAGTATTGAAAGGGAACACTGTGGACAAGGCCAAGTGGGAATGCAATTATCACTTTTTGTTTGGCAATTCAAGGAAAAGTCTTAAAGGAATAGTTCACACACACAAAAAGATCACCAATAGATCCTATGCAGTAAATGGGTGCTGTAAGAATGGAAGTCCAAACAAAAACATCACAATAATCCACACGACTCCAGTCCATCAATTAAAGTCTTGTGAAGCGACAAGTGGTGTGGATTATTGTGATGTTTTTTATCAGCTGTTTAGACTCTCAATCTGACGGCACCCATTCACTGCAGAGGATCCGTTGGTGAGAATTGGCAAGCAAATTCTTGGAAGCAAATTCTTCCAAGAATTTCGAAGTTAGAAATTCAAATATTGTGACAAAATTAATTTTGTAGGGTGCCACAAGTTTGTTAAAATTTCCAAAGGGTGCCGCGACTAAAAAAATGTTGGGAAACCCTGATCTAAACAACACTTTTTTTAGAGCAACATTGTCCAACACTACATACTAAAAATACTACAAACTAAAGAATGCAAATAAATGTGAAATTTTAAACAGTAATCTCAAAAACAATGCTTATTGTTTTAATTTTTAATCTTATTATGTGCAACAAAATCGTAACTCTTGACAGTTGGATTAAATAGTCTCATGTTAAACCACACTTCATTTAAGCAGGGCTGCATCTCTCACACATTCAGCATGAGAATCATGCAACTGACACTGTTCTCATGATCTCACACCACACATCCATTTTCTCATGCTGGGCCACACACACACACACACACACATACATATATATATATATTAGGGGTTGCACCGACTAATCGACTTCAATGCTCTGCCATGATGCTTTAAGCTTGAGGTCGACTAGTCGCTGGTCCTATAGAGGGCGCAACAGGATAAGAACTCTTTGAAGGACTTCCACATTTACGCTCCGTTTACAAACAGTTCAAATGACAAATAAATGCATACTCTGAAAGCTCTCCACAAGACGTGATTATATTACTGGATGCTCGAAATTGAATGGGAGAATGCACGTTTAAAACAGCTTATTGTACAGGTAAATTAATCGCCGTTCTAATCTAATGCGCTGCTTCACTGTAACACACACACATAGGCTACAGACATATATATATATAAACACACACTGTATATATTCCTAAAAAATTAAGGGAACACTTAATCATCACAGTACAAGAACAAATAAATAAAACTTAAGGGATATCAATCTGTCCGGGTAAAAAGCATAAGTGATGTGAATCAGTTTCACCTGCTTTAGTGCAAATGAAAGTGACATCAGGTCTCTGCTCTTCTAGTGTCTTCATCACTTTGGAAATTAAAGATAACTCTGCACTTTGCACTGTGGGATACAGCATTCTGTGCAGTGTGCTTGTACATTATATAGGCTACTGGAAAATATTCTAGTCCCATCCATACTGAACATTTGCATTATGTGCATAATACATATATACTGCATACTGTATAAATATTAAGAAAGGTATATGTGATAGTATACATTTCCAAATATAGCCTCAGTATGTACTTTGCAGTATGCCAATACCGTCACTAGGGAAACAAAACAGACTTGGTTCCTAAAAACAACTCCCATCATTCCAGCAGAGGGAGACGGGTGAAACCGAGGCCTGATATCTGCACACTAATCTGATACGAATTAAAGGACAAATACAGATTACTTCTATCAACCTTATTTTGCAACGAGGAAGTAAGA